TTACTGTAGTAGTCTAAGGCTGACATGATACGGGTCCGGTAAATATTCCCCCATACCCGACCGAGGTGACTGACTGACAGACTGACAGTGGGGGGCTCATCATTCATCCATCCTTCTATTTGGTGTTGTTTTTCGGCGGCTGACGATATTAATTTAAATGAGAAACATCGCGTCAATGTGAATTACTCCGTCTGCCCCCAATATTGATTATTTATTTTCGGGCGGATGTTTCATACTCCCAACCTGGCAGGCAGGCTGTACACCGTAAGATAATCAACTAAATGATTATTCACAACCCCGCCCTGCTTGCTGTCTCCTCCGCTACGTAAACACCACCAGGAGTAAGTCCAATACGGAATACAGTAGCCGACACGAAAATCAAGAAAAAAACGCTTTGATCCGCGATATCCTCAGCACAATGCGACAGGCGGTGTTGGGTTCTCGTGCATCTCGCAACGGGTTCTTGCGGTCTGTGTAGTTTACCAGGTTATCAGCCATCTGTCGGTCAGTCCAACGATTCATTCAGACCAATCCCCCCTTCCCCTCCCTGCAGCCAATGTACAGCATCATCATCACCACCACCTCTAATTCCGCGACCGAATCAGCACGCTCAGACCTCACCGCTTCAGTCTGTTGTTTGGCATCTTCGCAGCAACTAACACCACAGCATGCTTCCGATGGATGTCGACATACATCCGCCCGTCTGTATGAGTATGCAAGTATGTATATACATCTGGCGATAACGGTAGTAGGCATGTACTAGTATGTGGGTAAAAAGGAAAAGTAAAATAGTAGGTAACTAGTTTAGCACCGGCACTGCTTGGGGTCCAAGTGACTCAGATGGTTTCAAATGCGTTTAGGCTTTTTGCATCTCGCGTTGGTTTTACAACTCATCCCATCCCTCCCCTCCCCTCCCCTTCAACTCCCTTCTAACATGGGTTCTTTCTTGGGGGTAGTGGTGGTGGTGGTCTGGCGGTCAGGCAGGCAAACACCCGGGCGGGCGCCTCAGAAATTGGCTGAGACGGACATGGACATGGGGATTGTTGGCAGTGCTGGATTCTCGAGGCAAACAAGACGAGGATTGATTGGGTTTCCTTTTTTTTTTTTTGCGACATCTGATTATTGTTATCAGCTCGTGCCGCGATAACAGAGCGCATAAAAAAAGGCAAAAATAAGCAAGCAAAGGAAAAGGAAATAAAGTAATTCGATAGAGGGTCATTCAGTACCACATATCCGGCCCCAGGGAAGCAAAAGTAAGTAGTCGGGTACCTAATCCATGCGCGGTATCCGCGGTGGATCCCGGGTATTCCTTTATGCCCTGCTACCATACTCCGGCTGTGTATGTCCACTTCTCCATCAGAACCCGATAGGAAAGTCGCTACACTCTACAATACACTTCACATAATGATAGACTCTAACAGTAAGTATCCCCTTAAACAATAGGCGGCGCACAACTTCTTATTTCAACATCCTAACCATGGAACCTATCTTGCACGGATCCGACCCCGGATCCGTTACTGTCAAGTTGTTTCGTGTTCCGGGGGACAGTTGTGTTCCCTGGGACGACCCAGAATACATAGACGTGTGGTTCCCCGTTCAACAACCCACCCACCCCCGCGACCCACGCGTTTCTACCGAGATACTAACTACTAACTACTTACTTATCACCCTTCTTTACCCCGGACGTTGTGTACCACCGCCAAGCCCGTTTATCCGCTCCGTAATCCTTACTCCTTCGGACCCGCGTAGGGACTTACAGTTCGTCTCGTAAATAGTTATCTATGTACTGGCATCAATAGGATTAAAGTCAGCTGTGCCTGCCTGTCTATCTGCCCCCAAATCTGATCTGACGGGCCGCACCACCCCCAGATTCCATCCACTGTCTGAGTTTGTCGCGGTCTGCCCTGTCCTGCCCTGCCTTGCTCTGCCCTGCCCCCCGTACAGCCAGTAAGTTGGGGGAGGCGAAGCAGTAACGGCCCCCCCATGCCTCCCTTTTCCTCCCTCTCATCGGCAGTTGTCCGTTTCAGCCCGCGAACTAGTCACATCGACTGAAAATGGCCAGACAAGGCAACTCTGTGAAAGAAAACAACAACAACGGGAATATACTTCTTTCGGATAACTACATTTTCAAATTCAACAGTCACCTAAACTAGAGTAGGCGAAAAAAATGATCTTACTCTTTGTGTGAGTCCAGCCTAGCTGATGAAGATCACACTAGTTACTAGTAGTTAGTAGTACTTCTCCGACCGTCGCGCTTTGTTAGAGTCGAGAGGCGAAATGCACGGTTAATCTAGGCGGGTAGTTTTTAGCCTTGCCGGGCGGGATAGTGCCTCGGCATCTGGGGGGCTTTGGATTTATCCACCCCTTCCCTAGTTACTAAATTAGTATTTCTCTTCCTTTGTTCAGGTAGTACTCCGTAGTAGTAGTCTAATTCTGACAAGGCACACGCAGGGCTGGATCGCTGGCTATCCTGTGATCAGCTGAGTGTTTTGTTGTTGTTGATGACTGACTAGTCGTACAGGGGACAGCGTGTTTCAGAGTTGGGGCTGGATGGATGAATAGATGGCATTGTGTATGCAGTGCATCGAGTACTACAGTAGTACTTACTTCTTAGTGGTACTATATTTAATGAACAACGAACGAATGGATGAATGACTCGATGCGATGCACACCTACGGAGTACATATGCTGGCATGCAGTATGTGTTTGAAAGAGAGAGATATATATATCAAACAAGCGGAGTGTGCTTTATCAATTCTGGGTCACGATCAATCAATCACTATGCAATGCATACTACTAAATTCATACAGTGTACTTTGTACGACTTCGTTGGTTGCAGTGGACCTGAACGAATGATCTAATTCTAGACTTCTTTGCATATGTACCCCTGGAACTAGATAGTAGTCGCGCCAAAGAAATCCACTAAATTATGATCCCAGCTAGTCACTAACAACTTACCTACCAACCTACCTTTGTGTGAAGTACGTTGGCCGATGGTCTGTCTCACTTCAGCTCCACAATGCAGTGTGAAAAGCATCAAACCGACACAACTGATCATCCCAGACAAAGTACGAGTTGCGATGCTAAAGTATCATCACGAGCACACCAACACCATGCCCAGAACGCCTACTAATAATAATGAAGATGTGATTCAGTTCTTTCTTTCTGAAATGGCATACGCTTTGACCGACCGGGCACCAGCCATCACAAGCCATCACAAGCACACTAGTTATTTGACCGTCTTGAATTGCTTCATCTTGTGGTGGTTGCTACTGTTGCTGCTAGTACTACCGGTGCTGATTGGCGCTATCAGGTGGACAATGAAACGGCCCAGCGGGACTGATTGAACTGTGACAAGAAAGCCTGGCCTGTCAGTCCGTCAGTTGACGAGTAACATGGCCCCGACCGGGTGATTGGGAGCAACACACCCGATGCCGGCGCCCAGACCTCGGTTGCTAAAGAGGGTGGGTTCCATTTCCTTTGAACCTGACTGACGGGTAAATGAAAAGGTACTAACCCGTCGACGGCTCTAGACCGTCGGCCCTAATTTCCCCGGGGGCAAATGATCAGATAGAAGTAAATCAATGATAGTCCACGATCAGTCAGTCACTCAGTCAATAGTCTGCTCATGCACAACTGCTTTTCTTTCACTCGCGGGAGTGCGGAACCCGCCTCCGATGAATGATCGAACCGCCGTGCTGGATTGGATGGTCTCCACCGCCCCAGCGATCGTCCCTTTTGGGAAGAAGTAAATAAATGAAAAGTATTTTTCCCCTTTTGGCATCAGAGGATCGTCTCTTCCCAATGCGGTAGCTTTCTGAGCTACCCGCCAACCCAAAGTACTTCCGTATTTGCTCCCCCTCGCGGCCCTTTAAGACTCATCAACTGCACTATTTTGGAGAACACGACGCGGGTAGACCCGCGGAACCGCGGTACAAACTGCCGGACCAGGACTGTAGCAGTGGAGAGAGCATGGGGAGGAACTTTTGCCCCCTTTTTGCTTTTGGGGAAAGTATCGCAGGTTCTTCAGGGTGCACCGTGAGCCGGACATCTTCCCCCGGCCCCGGTGGCTGCAGTAGTTCGCCGCGGGTGGAAGTCAAGCAGGAAAGTACTGGATACCTTCAGCTGGTCCTGAAGATACATCCACTCACTGTGGATGGATCATCATCTCGATGAAGGACGATAATGACGACAATGACGACTATCTCTCCATAGCTCTCTGTGCATGTGCATTCCACTCCAGCTGCACATTTCCTAGATTTTGTGCAGCTTACTTACGTATGCACTTGCATACATAAGTACATTCTCGAATACTTCCTGGTCTCCTTGACCAGAAGTACTCCGGATCCCACTCTGGGGTACACCTGTACTTTACTTATTGACTTACTTTGCCAGTTCTCCACCCAGGTACATCCGCGTATGCAAGCCTAACATTCCAGACTGTCCCCGACTTTGGGTACTGCAAAATGCAAAATGCATTTCCGATCGAGGCGATCCATCCAACTGATTGGTGCTGACCCCCTTGTCCATCGTCATCCCATGATCCCGGATACCCTCCTGCATTTTCCACCCACCCACAGCTCGTCATGCAAGGCATGCTCCCAGCTTACGTGGTGATGCCTCGGTGCTACCCCTCCATGAGCGGTGTTTTGCACTGTTCCCTCCCTCCTACTACTACCACCACCTTGCTAATCTGCGGTACTGCGTCTGCAGGGACTGTCAAAGCTCCCAAACAGCGGTGATTCACCGCTTCCCCCGTTATTGGTTCTCATGATGCCATGCCATCGGTTTCGTTGGTCGGGCGAAACAATCAACCTTTGTGGTGTTTGTTATCGATCTAGCGCTTCGGTTGGACTACCTTAGGCATCTGAAAATTGATGCATCCATTCATGGTGGTTTCGTCTTGATTGGGAATCGGGACTTTTGCATCGCCGACCGGGGGAAGGGGGTGCCCTCTCCATCCCTCAATTATGGATGAAACATTGGAAAGGCACTAGAAGCTAGGACTGAAGATCCAGGAGCGTGGTCTTGGACTCCTCACAACGCACACCCTGGCTGCCCCGCCCACGGCCTTGCGCGGAGATTAAAGGTACCACTTGCTCCCCGGAGTATCTGGGGATGGAGAAAGCACATACCACACCGTCCGGGGAGGACCACATTTGCTGCACCACATTCTGGGACGGGGAACGGGTCCCGGAGCACGGATTGAGAAATAAGGTGTACTCCTCGCAGCGGATGTAGCAGACGGATGCCTGGCTGTGGTTCCGTCTGCACTGGGTTCCCGGTTTGGCAACTAGAGCTACCCAGCTTGGGGATCCACGACCCTGCGACGGGTCTTTCTGAGCAGTCCGGAAACAACTTCCCCGGTTGATCCTCGACCTGTGGCTCGCACGGGGGGAGACTGATCATATGTGTGGCGTCGCATTTGGAATGTGTGATATATTCATCTGGCTACATACAGAGTGAGGCGAGGTATGTGGCGAGGGTGAGCGGGGACAGGTGGCTTGAGTTGACATACACAGTGATACTAGTATGCTTGGAACTGATCTCCGGATAGGGCCGTCTCCAGAGGTCAAAGGGAGGTACTATCGACATGACGGCACGGAGTCCATGCGCTCGGTTGAGTCAGTCTGTCACTATGCCTTGACTCGTTTCGTTCTATTCCCGCCACCTGCGACATAATCGGCAACTCCGCAGTTTAAGCAGGTTTATTGTTGGTGGGCGTCGTCATTTACTGCTGTTGACACCAGAGTTATCATTTCTCTCATGTCCATCTGACCATGACTATCAAGCTTACGATAGCGTTCAATATCGGCATGCGCTCCGTTGTTCCATGCAGCGACCGACCGCTTAATCTCTACAGGAGTCGTCCTACGCGGGGGGTCTGTAGACAAGGCCATTATACTCCGTCTGGTTACGAAAGTGAGGTTGGACGGTGCAACGTGCGGGCGGGCAGTGCTTGCGCTGACGTTTCATTCTCGATCATCTACACGGACACGCGGAGACGCCGCGGATTGCGATCCCCAGATGGGGAAGGCCGTACGGGTCAGCAGGTAATCACTCGCGTGTTACACGGAGAGCATGAGTAGCATGAGTAGGAGTCGTATTATTGGAGCCTCATCGCAGAGCCGCGATGAAAGCATCACTCTTTTGCTCGATTCGTTTGCTGAGACCTCGTAAAGCTTTCAGCCTTGTGGAAATGATGCTAGGGTTCCATCGGGTACGATAGCGGTCGGAGTTTATTGAGATTTATGATGATGATGACGATGATGATGATGGACACGTTGACATGGATTCATCCACATTTACCCCATATTTCTGGCACGTCGCTTGACACCGATCATCTTGACAGCTGCTGCTGCTGCTACTACTACCTCGGGGTGGCAAATACGCCAAGGGCGGTTATGATATACTCGTGATTGTGACTGTAATCTTCATGTTTACTATCTCGGTTATTTTCAGACAGAGTAAATGGATATAATTAGCCACGGCATAGTACTCCGTAATCAGATTTGGCATGTACACCGTAAATATGCTGCATACTAGTATAAGCCACTTCATCCCACTCATTACAAATCGATAAATATATTTACCCTCGCACAAGATAATAGCCACAAACCCACCGTCCGTCTGCCATGTAACCACCGATTTACTCTATCTAGGATGGGAAGTGGTGACACAGCAGTTGAATGTAGTACTTCTTTGGATATTCTTTAAATATTAAATACTTTAAGTAGTTGAATAGTTATTCTTAATCCACTACAAATAAACAATGAATGACTCAATGAATGATTAGAAATTCTAGATAAGCACATACATACATAAAGCCTTATCGTACAACCGGACATCCCCGTCATCATGATGACGATAAAGATAATAAAAATAATAATAATACTAATAATAATATTCATCCCACATTGACACGGAGGGGTAACAAACCAGTAAAGTATAGTAGTGTGTGTTCTGGAACGTTTCCACGCAGTGGTTGATTAGAAATACTATCATCTATTTTCCTGGCTCAATAATAATATTATCAATATTATTATGATCCCTGCTACTTCAATATTTAATATTTTGATGTTGTTATTATTCAGTTGTCTCAGATATGACACCACTGCTACCGCTGCACCACCGCAGTGTTGGTTAGTTGGTTGGGTACCCAAAGTAAAATAAGGAGCAGATAGTTACTTAGTAGTAAGCCTAACGAACATTCCATCGTTCCATCATCCATCATCCCTCGTCCATCCATTCATGATAAGCTACTCACCCTTGAAACAAGTGGGGGTGTTGTCTGTCTGTCTGTCTGTCTGACCGGGTAGATCGGTTAACACGGAAGTATTTACATACTTACTCTTCATGACACATGCTAGTTGGCTAGCTAGCTAGCTACACCTTCGTGATGATGAGTCTTGATGGAATATAGGGGACGATAATATCAGAGAATGATAATATTCAGGAAGCCGCTTGTTGCGCCGCGCGCGGTCGGTCGGGAGTTCGGCAGGATATATTATTACCTACTACTTTGGAAATATTTGTTGGTGTGCTGTCCACGTGTTGATGGGATAGGGATATATTTCATTCATTCCTTCGTAACGAAGTATAATCCATAAGGATTGTAGTATATCGGGAGATATCGGTACTACACAGTAAGTAAGAGTAAGAGTAGTATTCACTAGGTAATGGATAAATAATGAAGGATGCGAATAAGGATGAGGATGAAAGCTAACTGACGGACAATATCCGATGATAAATAATCCCACCAATTAGATAGGTATTATCAATCCTCGTTCCTCATTCCTCCAACTACACTTGTTGCTTACCTTATCTAGGGAATATACTATCCACCTCAGGAAAGAAACAAGGATCCCCTCGTTCCAGAAGCCTTCCAGCCTTCCATCCTTCTCACGCTCCGCTTCTTCTTCATCTCATCTCATCGGCTAATTGCATGTGAGAATTAATCCTGTGTGTCACGGCAACCGTTTACCGTTTATCCTTCCCTTCCCTGTTCTTTTCCCTTTTCCTTTTCCTTCCGTTCCCGCTAGTCTACCAACTAACTACCGAAGAGGGGGGAGGGGCCGTGAACTGGCGGTGAGGGAATGAATTCCATGTACGGAGGGAGTCTGGTTGTACAGTTACGTTACTTGGTGTGATCGGCACACACGAGGGGAAAAGAGTTGGTCATGGTTACGCCGTTGGTCTAAGGTTTATTTTCTCTTCTCTGGTTTTCATTGTGTAAAGGGTAAATAATGTGGGTGTGGGGATATATTCCTATACAAGTGGAAGGGTGTTGGAGAAGAGCAGGTTTTGGGGATGTATGCCGTAAGTAGTGGGATGGAGGTGAGTTACTATTCCCGCGGCGGATAGAATATCCACCACTACTTATTTTATTTAAGGATTTAAACTGATATGGAATATCTTTAACTTTCCATGACCGTTGAAAAAACAGGATAAAAAGCAAAGAAAAAGAGGGAATAATAGAATCAAGAATAACCGTTATCCCACGGGTCGGTGTCTGTAGCCGGTCAACAACGGTTAAACTACTTACGTAGTTTAACAACTAGATTGGGAATTGATATCCCCTACTTCCTACTATTATCAAGATAGCTACTACTACGTATATTGTATCATCCTCGCCGGGAGGTTGTGGCTTTGGGTTGAGCGGTGAAAGAAGTACTACACTTATTTCTGTTGTGTTTCGTTTTCTTGTTTGCTGTGGATGGTTGCATCACTTTATTGAACTCTTTCTTGGTTTCTTTCTTTCTTTCTTTCTTCTTCTTTATCGGGTTTGATGTTGGTTGATGCGGTGGGACTACTAGACTAAGTATGATGGTTGAGGGATGGGTCTAGATCTAGACCTCGGTGGGGGTGTGGGTGTGGGTGATGGGTGGGTTGTTCTTTTGTTGTTCTTTTGTTCTTCAATGCTGGGGGCGCGGAGCGGTGTGCGATTATCATCTTTGTATATCATTTTTTTTATGGTTGATATTTATAGGATTTCAAGGAAGCGAGTGTGGTTGAAAGGGTACTTTATTTTATCATAATGAGAGGGTCGTTTTAGCTAGTTTGGGTAGTTATTGCTGGGAGATGTAGGTTTACATGATGATAATGAATAATTGGTATTTGCACTGGTAGGATTTATCTATTTGGTAGAGTATAGCTGTATCCTGCGATGCCTGGATACTAATGATATCACTATGAGATGGGCACATCTCGCACATCATAGTATGAATGATGTCTCAAATATTGCCGAATCCCGGTGTTCATTTAACAAGGTTGCTAGATAGAGCCGTAGAAGAAACAACTATTGGAATAATGACCTGTTGAATATCAACTAACTCATGGAAATGGGGAGATATCTAGGAATAGCACAAGCTTCCTCGTCGACTAGTATGGAGCATAACACGATATGCAGCTCCGTGCACATGTGGATCTGAGCCGATCACTATCGCCTCCTTCGAGAATATTACCAATGCGCTAGAGTAGAGCCTCAAGGCATGACTAGTGCACGTACTAGTCTGATCATGTCTACATAGTATATATTAGTGGAAAAAGCCTGACCTATGCTTTTGTCGGATGTGTCTGGTTATCGAGGTCAGCCCCATCATGGGCTTGGTATTCACATCGTTCCCTTAACTATATGTTGTCCTGCTCGATACTCAGCATGTGGCTGCTGTATGACTAGCATGACTGGTTTGGAGCATATGCACTGTGATGCCAGGTCCACTCCCTGTCATCGGAACGCAGGTCAATTAGGAGGTTAATACCCTCCCTCTAGTATCCCATTGGTCTTGATGGGCTTGAAGATCTCCGGGATGCTCTAAAGCATGATTGGCATGAATGGTATGCCAGTTCCTGCCAAGGCAAAAATCCCGAAGCAGAATGGTGACTATAGAGCGTGATAATCCATCTCATCAATTCTGCTCGCAAAGCAACCTATTTCCTTATACGTTGAGGTGAGTCAAAATTCGAGCAGGCAGCTCTCAGCTCTCCAAACTCCGAATCCTTCAATGCGAAGCCGGTGTTATCGGAGTTATGGGCATTCCTGTAGATCGGAGTTAAGGCTTGATATTTCCGAACTGCACAGTATATAGTGTTGAGCGTGACGGTGGTTGCAATCACTCAAGAACATCTTAAACCTGCGTAAATATCTATTAGTCTGTACCAATCATGTCTGCTGAGCAAAAGTTGGTCCTGATCACAGGTACTTCTTCCAGCCCAACAATTGGTTTCAACTAACATCTCCAGGGGCAAACCAGGGCATCGGATTCGAGACGGCCAAGAACCTGATCCTCTCCGACAACTACCATGTCATTTTAGGCTCGCGAGACCCAGTCAAGGGTGAAGAGGCGGCCAAGACCTTGCAGGCTGTCCCCGGTATCAAGGGCAGTGTCTCGTCAATTCAAATCGACGTAACTGACGATCAGTCTGTGGATGCTGCTGCTGCCGAGATCAAAGCTCAGTATGGACGACTTGACATCCTAGTCAACAATGCTGCCATGAGCTCGATGAAGCATCCGCCAAGTCGAGAGGCTATGCGCCAGATCCTGGATGTGAACGTGGTCGGAGCACTTAGCACGACAGAAGCATTTCTCGACCTGCTTCGGAATTCATCTGAGAAACGTCTTGTATTTGTATCTTCGAGTACAGGCTCCATTAGTCGTGCGGCAGACCCGTCATCTCCCTTTCACATAGCCAGTGCTACGGAGTATCGGGCCAGCAAGGCTGCACTGAACATGATGATGGTCTTGTACATGTGTCGCCTCAAAGATGAAGGTTTCAAAGTGTTTGGAGCCGATCCAGGGCTGTGTGCCACGAATCTCACCGGTGACCCTGAATCACTGCGACGACGTAATGCTGCAGAACCATCTGATGGAGGAGAGAGGGTGGCGACGGTGGTGAAAGGGGAGCGGGATGATGATGTTGGAAAGGTGCTGGGAGTATATGGAGTATCACCCTTCTGAGTAGTCTTTCAATTTGTATCACTCGAGAGTGTATATTAGTCTGTATATTGCAATGAGTATGCGTATAGATTGCAAGCAAAACAGTAGATGGCATCAAACTAAACCAATCATGGCCTGTGCCTGAATGAGTCATGGCCAGTCACGAGACCCAGCCCAAAGCGGGGATGACGGCGGTGAAGCCAATCGGTGGCAGACCGTCAAAGCAAGTCGTTATAATTTGCTGAAAAACTGGTGGGTAACCATCCAGACACTTTATGCCACCACCACGATTACCCCTCGTTTGCCGGTCGCTCTTTTCATCACGCCGGTTCTCTCGCTCGGCCATCATGGAGAGTCGCCAACAGCCTCCCTGGCAGCAACCCCCTGCTCATCCCGACACTCGTCTGCCCTCCCTTAAAGTATGGAACTCCCTCACCAGATCTAAGACGCCCTTTGTGCCATTGGACCCCAAAGGCCGGAAAGTTAAGTGGTACGCTTGCGGTCCGACAGTCTACGACGATGCGCATCTGGGTCATGCCAGAAACTATGTCAGCACCGATATCCTGCGTCGAATCCTTAGGGATTACTTCAAGTTCGACGTCGAGTTTGTCATGAATATCACCGACGTCGATGACAAGGTATGTGTCATTACCCCGCCGATACAATAGCTTCTTGAGGATTGACTCTGGCTCCAAGATCATCCTGCGCGGTAGACAACAGCACTTGTTCAACAAGTACATTGCCGAGCACCCCACCGTTACGCCCGAAGTCCTCGAAACCGCCCGCAAAGCATACAGCGCCTACATCAAGAAGAACCTTCCCCTGGTCGATCCCGAAACCAAGCCCGAGAACTTTGTCGCGGAAGCTGAGAAGGTCTATGGAGTTGTTCTGCAGGGAGGGGCCTTGGAGGCAGACAAGAAGCCCGGTGATGCGGAGGTCAAGATTAAGATGCACATTAAGACTGTGACAGCCACGACGTCGGCGATTGCGGAGGCCACCCAGAAGCTCTCGGGCATCGATGCTGCCTCCAGCAAGGCTTTCTACGACGCCGCCCAGGATGTCTTCTGCTTCTACCTTGATGTGACGGAGGGGTCTACAATTCCTGGCGATGCGCACGAGATCTTCACGAAACTGACGAAGAAGTACGAAGATCACTTCATGAGGGATATGCGGGATCTCAACGTCCTCGACCCCGATGCCGTGACCAGAGTCACGGAATACGGCCAGCAGATTGCCGACTTCGTCGAAAAGATTGTCGCGAACAAGTTCGGTTATGTTACCTCCGATGGCTCCGTCTACTTCGACATTAAGGCATTCGAAGAAGCTGGTAACCACTATGCGCGACTTGAGCCTTGGAACCGCAACAACCAGCCTCTGCTGAGGGACGGCGAGGGCGCGCTGTCGCGAGCAACCGAGAAGAAGTCTTCGGATGATTTTGCCCTCTGGAAGGCATCCCGTCCGGGTGAGCCCAGCTGGTCAAGCAAGTGGGGTCAAGGACGGCCAGGCTGGCACATCGAGTGCTCGGCAATGGCATCGAGCTGCCTTGGTAGCCAGATTGATATCCACTCCGGTGGTATTGACCTTGCATTCCCTCACCACGACAACGAGCTTGCGCAGAGTGAAGCCTACTGGTGCGAGCATAAGCAGCAGTGGGTCAACTACTTCCTGCATATGGGCCACCTGTCCATCCAGGGTTCCAAGATGTCGAAATCTTTGAAGAACTTCACCACTGTCAAGGAGGCTCTCGAGCGCGGTGACTACACTCCTCGTAGTTTGAGAATCGTCTTCTTGCTTGGTGGGTGGCGTGATGGTGTCGAGATCACCGATGATCTCATCAAGAATGCCTCTTCTTGGGAAGAAAAGCTCAACAACTTCTTTGTCAAAGCGAAGGACCCCTCTAGCTTCCGGTCCTCCGACGAGGCGCCGACATCTTCATCCGAGACCTTGGCACAGGCCCTCAAGTCCACACAAGAAAAGGTCCACGAATACTTCTGTGACTCCTTTGACACTCCCAAGGTCATGGCCGCCATTTCTGAGTTGGTCACGACGTTCAACGCCCTTGATAGCCAAACCCTGAATCTCAAGGTGGTTGAATCCATGGGTACATGGGTCACCCAGATTGTCACTATCTTTGGCTTGAATGGCGCGGCCTCTCCTGACAACTGTGGCATCGGCTGGGAAGGCACTGACATTCCGGAAGCAGCCAAGCGTTTCCTATACCCACTGTCCGCCATGCGTGACACTCTGCGCCAAGCTGCCATGTCTGGAACTCCCATCACCGCTGAGCAGGTGAAGGATATTGTGGACATTTCTGCTACCAAGGAAGCAACTGTGTCCGATTCTGACAAGCCCTACTCCGAAGTCCTGGACAATTTCACTTCTCAATTAGCCTCGCTAAGCTTGGACGATTCCAAGCAGGCTTCCAAGGACATACTTTCTCTCTGCGATCGCTTGCGTAATGTCGACCTATTCAACCTGGGCATCTACTTGGAAGACCGCGAAAACAAGCCCGCGCTCGTCCGTCCTGTCACCAAGGATATGCTGCAGGCCCGCGAGGAACAAGCTCGTAAAGCCTTGTTGAAGCAGCAAGAAAAGGAGAAGCAAGAGAAGCTTGCCCAGGAACGGCTTGAGAAAGGAAAGCTTAATCCCGTGGAAATGTTCCGCACCAGCGAATACAGCGCTTGGGACGAAGACGGCATTCCCACGAAAGATGCTGCGGGCGAGCCTCTCGCCAAGAGTAAGAGCAAGAAGCTTCGGAAAGACTGGGAGCGCCAGAAGAAGGCCCACGAAGCCTGGCTTGCAAGCCAGAATGGAAAATGATAGATTATACGAATCAATGAATAATACACCATCCGTCTTGGTTGACCCAGAAGGATCATCAACATAAATCCGACGTGCATGAATAGTTGAACCTCATCCATTCGTCACCTTGATCTAGAAAATCATTATGAGGTAACTGTGCCAGTAGCACTACGCATTGTTGACGAAACGCTCTGGAAGCTATATCCAATTCTATTGCCGATCACCTATCATTGTAACACATCTTAACCCTCTTGGAACCAGGTAACTCGATAGCGACGTCGTGACAGACTCTTCCCCAGGCTGAGGCGCACTAAAGATTCACAGACACTCTCGTCATCGGACCATCCTATAATGGCTCTTGATACACCTAGACAGGTTCGCCGTGAGTACCACCCAATGAATGTATTAGCTACCATCCTCATAAGAACAGGAAGACGCGCACTGGCGCCTAGTGTCGTGGCTGAGGTTAATAATACAAACCAATTTTGCAGCCTCCCACTCGAGATACTCTATATGATCTTCTCATACCTCAGTTTCCTAGATATTCACCCTTTGCGCCTTACTTGCCGACTATTTTTCACCGAGCGTATGTCAGCCGGCTCAAAAGTGCGGACCTTCGTACGATCAGGACGGACCTTTCCCGGCATCATGTGCAGCAATTAATGAGACTCAGCGAAAGAAAGGCACTAGCTGTCAGAGAATTGTCAATCTGCAGTTTTTCTGGTAGGCCCCTAGGTCTCGGATGCAGCGTTCCTCATTCGTGTCCCGGGGAGTTACAGGTCTCAGAAAACCTGGAAACTGCTCTGGAAAGGCTCAGGAATTGTCAGACACTTCGTGTATCTGTGGCGGGGATCAAAACTGCTGGCTATGGACCAGCCTGGCTGGGAGCTGTCGACGCGACACTTACGGTCTTGGAGGTGTTCTCCCAGGCCGGAATTCCACTAAAATCAATTGAGATGGATTTCAGGACAGATGACGCAGCTGCACTGCTACATGATGGTTTCAAGCACCGTGATTACAATGACATTCCTTTCTCGCCGTTCGGTTACGATAGATTACTGATAAAGGATGTCTCTCTCAGTCTCAACGCCAGTATAGCGGGAAATAGTGACCTGTGCCGGCGCATCTTTTCTCCTCTATGGGTCAGAAAGGCAAAAATGGTCTCCCTTGACTTTGGAAATAGTTACGGAGGACGGTGTGTTCTTGACTTTCTCTGTCATGATAAGAGATTTCGTGCCAGATATATCTCTGTATTAAAACTACGCGGCGCTGCGGGGATGTGCTTCTCCAAGTTCGCGAAAAAGCTACATTCCCATCATACCTCCTTGCGGATTTTGAGCATGGAAAACGTTCGCTTCAAGCGATGTGACTGGCCGAGCCTTCTACACCAACTGAGGACCGATTTCCATCATTTACGAGAGCTGCACCTTACATTCCCGGTGGAAAAAGTATTTTCGCTACGCTCACCTTCTGTAACTCCGCTAATCTTCACTAGGACTCTATGTTCGCCCACGATTGGAGGTGGAAGAGGAGATACCGCGACCCTCAGTTCAAGGTGACTTACAATGGGCCGAGAAAGAATGGGGTCGTTACTGCTCTTGAAGAGTTGGCTGATGGAGACCCTCTGTTAATCCGAGATTGAAGTCAAACCAAGAATGACCTGGAGTACCTTTCTGTTTGCCAGCCAATCTTTCAGTTGTCACTTTCCTCGCGAACCTGACACCATATGGTATGGATGACTGAGAATATTATTAATTTGAATCGATAATGGTGTTAGTTAGAAAAATCGCCCCAATGTGGGATTGATATACTCTCAAGCTGCGTAACATATTACCTACTAAACCTGTTGTGTTAATATTCACAGCTGCGCTTACCTGATGCGCCCCCTTTACCATCATTTCACCGTTATAGCTGTTTCCAATAATACTCGTGACGATTGATAAATCGGCGCTTAAGCTAAGACATACCATGGGGGTACTGTATTTTCACTGACAAAGCCCTAGAAGCGTCTGTCGTACATTCAGGGCCGGTATAGGCGGATATTTCAATTTAACGAGAAACATATCAAGAGAGATAGTTCTACAACGTATCCGTCAAGCAAGGCAGCATAAAAATTAAAATGAACCGAATCAAATGGAGTGCAGCTCTGTCAAAGCTAGAGAGGGATGGTTCAAGAGAGCAGTGGTGATGATTCTACTCCGGTCACCTGCTCTTAGGGAAAGAGACCTCCTTCCCCTGGATCTGCCCACCAAGCAACCTTCTTCCTTGTACCACACCATACGACCTGTCCAAGATAGAGTTTCACAAATTTGCTATGGGTGGAACCATCCTGAAGGAAGAACTTGTCTTTATATTCTTCTGTCCTTTTAACTAGAATGTTTCGTTGAGAATGTTCCTAGAAAGGAAACCATTGCGGCTACGCAACGAATATCACACCACTTCCATCACTTCCATCATTTTCTACGATGAGCTCATCCTCATCATCTGCCAGCCACAGAGGAAATAGAATACAAAATGGTACCTTTGTCCAATCCTGCTCAGGGGAACTTATGTTACTAGATCTAGATTATGAGATATTCCACTGTTGTGCCAGCAATTTTTGTATACCTCTTAACGAAATTTTATGGTATGAAGAGCAACCAAGAACCGATATGATTCAATGCTTACTATTGCACTTGAAAAGTCAGTCGGACTAACACTGTGTTCATCATAATAGTGGCGTAGTGCCAGCTTCACCAGAGGACAACGGACATACATCATACCACTTCATTCGTCCACTTCGACTTCTTACATCTCGTTAGTCTTAATTCCAGTCTCCACTATCCACGCATCGAAAACATTATAACACTTGATTCGTTCATCTCAGCTCCCTACAATATGCATCAAAGAACTCGTTCTCCATCTGAAAGCCTCAACCTCTCCCTCCACAAACTGACTAGCGACAATAAGATGCCGGTGTTCCATTTTCATCTCTCACAAGACGCGAAGCGCCAGAGAATACAGAACAAGATCATCGCAACCCATGCTGGGATCGAGGAATACTCAGCTGGATATTTAAAGTCATGGCAATTACTGAAGCTGAAGATCGACGCATCTGAAGTCACCATGAACAGCAAAGATATAATCAAGTTCAGACCGTGCTTTTTCTCCCCATTATCGACTGACACTATACGGACATGCCTCTCGAAGCAGCTATGCAAGAATACGTCAGATGGAGGTGATTTAGGCTATGCAGGACGTGGAATCAGATGCTCAAGTGCAGCCACTCAATGCCCACTTATCCTAGATCTCTTCCGCGAGAAACATGCAACCTCCATACGAAAAGGTTTCTGCTTGGATAACCTGACAACTCTCCGCGAGTGTGGGTAAGTTGATAGGGACCACCCATATGTCCATTTGCGTAACTAACATACCGAGTGAAGAGCCACTAGTAAGGGCAAGTGGAAGCAGCAACCAGGCCTCGAACTAGTCGAAAAGCTTTCTACCGAGAGCTGGCAAATACTGCGCATTCTAGAAGACCTGGAGCATGAGGTACCCCATGCTGTATGCGATATTCGTCAGAACATCCAAGTCGACAAGACGAAAAGGCTCACAGTAGCCGAAGTGAAGGCCATTATGAGAGTTATGGCTGTCCGTATAGGGCTGGACTGTTACAGACGGTATTCGATCATGCCAGTAAGTCATTCACAAGCCAATTTGTTATCAACCTGGACACACATCTGACAAGTGCTTCCTAGATTCTGGCTATATCTTACCTGAATAGAAAGCAAGGACGGATTTTGCAAGCATACCATAATGGGAAACGGGTTGTCATCCAGTACACCAAGGTGCTAGAGCTTGATGGACTTGAGCATCACCCTATTGAGCTCTTCCTTCGCTACTACTGCAGCCAGCCAGTCGGGAAGACCGCCAATAAGCAGAAAGATTTATCGTCAAGATAGGGCTGGAACATTGGTCCCACTGAGGTCCCACAATCCAAGAGAAAGAGCATCACGCACAAGTGAGATCTAGGCTCTAGATTGCGAGCCGTCTTTGCATTAACACTATCGCGGTTTCGCCCCCGCCAAACTTGGCATTGCACCTGCGATAACGCTATCGGTCTTGTTTCCCAATCGGAATGATGCACGCCTTATCAAAACGCTTGACTCTCAATTTACTCGGAATGTGGCAAAGGAAAAACAATTCCCAAGAGGAATCAACTGACTGATGTGACAAAAACTCATCGTATCCGACGATTCTCAAATTCTGAAGATGCCTCGAGCTTCTTCAAAGGTCGCATCAGCTGTGTAACATTACAACTCACGAGGCCAGCTTCTCCGCATTCCGGGGGTTTGATTGCAGGGTACCTTGGCCTTTATCAAGATAGACACTACCGACATGCTTCTTATCGGCTTTGTTACACCTGCCCAGACGCTAACGACGCTCAGGTGCTGCAAGACACCACGCGTGGCGATAAGGACTCAAGCTTTCTCTTGATCGGCCTGCTCTTAAAAGGAGGGGTTATGTCCTCCTGCGATGTCGGCGGTATCCCGCCTTCATCTACTCGGCTTCAGGGTCATATTGACAGATGACTACTGCGGAGATGGCTTCCAAAGAGCTGAATGAGAAATCGTTCAAATCCCCGCAAGTCAGCACGGACGTCGAGGTGCAACAAGGCGGCTTCGAAGAAATACAACCGGAATTTGACCTTTCTGAACAAGAGAAGGAGCCAAATGATTTTGACTATGAATCAGAGCATTCGCCATTCCCTGAAGGTATGCGGCCTTTCACATACACACTGACCCATCTAATGGGTGACACGCCTAGTACGCGCCGTTGTCCCTGAGACGGACGACCCAGGCCTGCCCGTTAACACATTCCGCATGTGGGTGCTTGGGTTTATTTTCACCATCGTTGGATCGGGGATCAATCAGTTCTTCTCCCTTCGGTACCCGTCGGTTCATATCGTGTCGTTGGTAGCAGAGCTACTTGCCTATCCGTGCGGCGTCTTCCTGGCCAAAGTCTTGCCTTTATGGACTATAAGCCTCGGACGTCTAGGATCGTTCACCCTCAACCCAGATCGCCATTTCAACATCAAAGAACATGCTCTCATCGTCATCATGAGCAACGTATCTTTCGGCTATGGAAGCGCAGATTCCACCAATATCATCCAGGCATCGAGCGCCAGGTTCTACGATTTCGGTCTCTCAGCTGGCTTCTCTGTCCTCGTGGTTCTCTGCGCACAGCTGCTGGGATTTGGAGTGGCCGGTCTGGCTGCACCATGGTTAGTTGAACCAGCAAGAATCATCTGGCCCCAGGTCCTTTCGAACTGTGCCATGCTGGAGACGCTTCATTCGCGTGCAAACACCGTCGCCAATGGCTGGAAGATTTCCCGTCTGCGGTTCTTCCTCTACGTCACCGCAGGTGGTTTCGTATGGTATTTCTTCCCAGGGCTGATGTTCACTGCCCTTTCCTACTTCACATGGATCTGTTGGATCGCTCCTCGCAATGTGGTCGTGAACCAGTTATTCGGAATGCAGACGGGCCTAGGACTAAGTCCTATCACATTTGATTGGAGCCAGGTTGCCTACAACACGAACCCTCTGCTGTCACCATCCTGGGCGGCCATCAACGTGTTCGCCGGCTTTGCCCTGTTCTTCTGGATCGTCGTTCCAGGAATCTACTACTCCAACACATGGTTCACAGCCTATCTCCCCCTGATGACCGCCGACGTCTACGACCGCACCGGCACAGTTTACGACACAGCCCGTGTCATCAGCGCCGACAACACCCTAGACGTCGACGCCTACCGACAATACTCACCCCCATACTTACCCGCAACATACGCATTCGTCTACGGCCTATCCTTCGCCTCGATCACCGCCGTCCTCACCCACATCGGCGTCTGGCACGGCAAAGAAGTCTGGGCCGCCCTGAAAGGCAAAAACAAGCTCGACATCCACGCCCGTCTCATGCGATCCTACAAAAAGACCCCTTGGTACTGGTACGCCGCCATCATTGCCATCATCACCGCCATCGCCATCGTCATGGTCGAAGTCTATCACACAAAACTCCCCGTTTACGGCGTCTTCCTCGGCCTCATCATCCCCGCCATCTACATGATCCCCTGCGGCATCATCCAAGGCATCACCAACGTCGACGCCAACCAACTCAACGTCCTCGCCGAATTCATCGGCGGCTACATGTTCGAAGGCAAGCCCCTCGCCAACATGATCTTCAAAATCCTCAGCACCGATGTCGTCGGCCAAGGCGTCTACTTCGCCATGGACATGAAACTAGGCCACTACCTCAAAATCCCCCCTCGCACCCTCTTCTTGGCCCAAGGCCTCGCCACCATCCTCGGCGCCCTCACCCAAGCAGGCGTCACCATCTGGATGCTCGGCCACATCCAAGACATCTGCTCCTCCGACCAATCCGACGGCTTCACCTGTCCCAACGGCCGAACCGTCTACTCCTCCTCCGTCATCTGGGGCCTCGTCGGCCCCCGTCGTCTCTACTCCGTCGGCCGCATCTACTCCTCCCTCCTCCACTTCTTCTGGATCGGCGCCATCGCCCCCCTCATCACCTACTTCCTCTACAAATACACCCGCAACCAATTCTGGAAATACATCAACTGGCCCCTCATCTTCGTTGGAACTTACAACGTCCCTCCCGCCACGGGTATCAATTACTCCAGCTGGGCCCTTGTGAACTTCGCCTTCAACCACTTCATCAAGAAGCGCTTCTTCGCCTGGTGGAAGAAATATAATTACATTCTGGCTGCTGCGCTCGATACCGGTCTTGCTCTTAGTGGTATCGTCATCTTCTTTTGTATTTCGTATCCCGGCGCCGTGTTTCCCGATTGGTGGGGCAATACGGTTTATGTTAATACTGCGGATGGGGAGGGCGTGGCGTATAAGTCTATGCCGGAGGTTGGGTATTTCGGGCCTGCGAATGGGACGTGGAGTTGATGGGGGTTGTGGTTGTTTGGTGATAATGATTGTGTCTGTTGTTGTTGGTGGGTGGGTGGGTTTTATATGTATCTAAAATATCGAACCATTAACTGTTGTGATCACTATAGTATGGTCAATTCTCCATGTTTCTCTTATTATTACTTACGTAGGAATATCAGGTGATAGTAGAGCTGGACAGTTTAGTAATAATACACATTTCCTTCTAACGAATACATCCACCGCAATTAGAGGTTACTGACACATTGTTGCTTTCATTTTTATATGTTGTAAACTAATGTCACATTCACACACAACATACACAATATTACGACAACTATGACTAAGACGGTCTACAGCAATTGCCTACTACAATGAAACATGTGCTTGCTGTTTTTCAATTGAGCAAGTATATTAAATACATGGCTTTCCCCATCCTACCGACGATATCCGAGTAGCACTGACGACATTATGAGAGAAAAAGAAAAAAGAACAGAGCGAACTAGAAAGACATATCCGAAGAGCAATGATGAATAAACGAAAGCTTGAAACTCGAATCCAACCGGCAGACCCAGAGTGCGTAAAGATTGGCCGAGTGGCCAGTCAAAGCCTGGCCCTTCGCAGTCGATACAATTGACTCATGCCGTCATGTAGAGTCAAATGTTAGATGGGACATTTACTAGATAGTTTATTAGCTCTGGTTCATACAATAACTGGTTGACAAAACTTACGGAGATCTCCGCCATTCCGAGGTCTTCGCCGCCGTTAGCGGCAGGCTGCTGGGGAGCAGCACCGTTTGCTTGGGCGTTGCCCTCCGCAGGGCCAGCATTCTCGTTGGTGGTAGAGAAGTAGTCAACCATCTCAGCATCAAGCTCCTCCACAGTCTTGGGCTTAGGGCGGTTGCCACGGCCGTTAGGACGACGAGCACGGCCCTTGCGGCCCTTGGCACCAGCAGCAGCCTTGGTAGCGGTAGCGGGCTTCGGTTGGGGTTTGGTTTGCCTTCATCGCGGTTAGTCATGACCCCCCAGTAGCAGATAACTGTAGAAAACACTTACGCAACGCGCTCACCCAGAGGCTTGGGGGCGGGGACCTCAGGAGCGTGGGAGGCGTCGACGACAACCTCGATCTAGTACTCGTTAGTGTCCATACGTAAGAAAAGTGATCGTGAAGGAAAAGCCTACCTTCATGGGTCTGCCATCAACGAGGAGTCCATTCAAGTCCTTAGCAGCCTTGGCAGCTGTGTCGGGCTTGCTGAACACGATTGAGGCAATACCACGGCTCGTGCCGTTTTGGTTGTAAGTGAGCATAACTCGCTTAACAGGACCTGCGGACTTTGTGAAATATTCCTATACCAGGAGACCAAATTAGTATGTCGAGCCAACAGATTGTAGAAGGCGCAAGGAATCCCGAAGAGCCAAAACATCGAAGAACGCGTGACACCGGCTTCAAACACGATACCAATGAGCACCAGCGAGCACACAGCGGCGGTTAGTAGTAATCAGCGGATGGCCGTTCATCCCAGAACACCGAGACACTGTCATATCCGGAGCACAGAGCTGCTAGCATTTATCCCAAGAACCACGACGATGAACTCCCTCGAAAGCCTTCACTGTATCGTGTGTCCCGCTTCCAAACTAACCCACTTAGCAGTCGTCATCGAACTTTTCGCAACCAGACAAAGGGCTGGCCTTTAGAAGCTACGGACTGTGTAGCCAACAACCTTTGCCCGGGGACAGACAACACGAAGGCTACGTGTGCGGCAAATCCATGATTCTGTTCCCCCAGAATCTCTCTAGCAGCCCATGATAGGGAGAACAAGACATGATTTGTCTCACGGAGGTGATATGGGAAGATGCGTCTTTCCTGCCCGATTTCGAAACATTTCCCATACCGACCGCCGGTAGCATGATGCTTGACAGTTGATCACTTGCCGAACTAGTCGGTCACTGCTGGTAGGCTGATGCGCTCGCTGATGCCCGACACCTCGAAATGTGGAACTTGTACGGGTGTAGCCAATCGGATTGGTTTCAAAAGATGGTGTGTTTCAACAACCATCTGTGGCACAGTCTGCTGCGTGGCTTCAAAGGCGGATGGCTGGAAGATCCGCCCGAGCTAACACGCCTTTCGCAAGACTACGGCAGAACTCCAACTTCGGCGGACTCGCAGGGTGCCAGCGTGCAATTACCGCATGCGAAGTTTTCTGAGTTTGCTGCCTATGCTGAAGACCAAGAATCCATGACGGTGATATAAGAATATATATAATAACGTGGCAAGGATCGAAACGCGCGCGAAAGCCGTTGCGCCTCGAAGGTTTCGAGAAGAAAACATGGCGATAGAAACCCAAGGCCAAGGCCTTTCGATCAACATACCTTGATATTGGCCTCGTTCACATCGGAAGGCTAGAAACGTTAGTAGATGGTCATCTATTTATGGCAGGATGGATACTCACCAAGCCGCTGACCATGATTTTGCTTTCCGTGGAGACCGGGTGTCCGTTCTGGACAGCCTTTCCAGGCGCCTTGGCAGCCTTGGTGGTCTTCTTCACACCTCCGACCGGGACAGAAGTGTTGGCAGCCTTGGGAGCCGAGCGACGAGCGCGACGGCGAGCGCCCTGGCGACGGCTGACGAGGATCTCGTCGAGAGACTTGTCCAACTTGGCAGACATGATGAGAAGCGAAGTATGAAACTTTGTAGAGTTGGGTGTCGGTAGGCGATGAGATTTCACGAGAGTGTTGAGTGTTACAGGTGTTGCGCCACGGAGAATCGCGACGCTGGGACGGGCTTGTTTCTGGAGGCAACGGTGTCCAGAAGCTGGCAGATTAAACTGGACGACGGGCAGGAAGTGAGAATGTCGCGTTGACTGTTGAATTGCAGCGCGTGGAGATAAAAGCTGCAAGGTGGGTTGATGGAGATGTCGGGAATGGAGAGGATGGATGGATGGAGGATGAAAGGGAAGGGAAACGGAGGAGGGATGGAGAAGATAAGCAAAAGGGAAAGGCGGGAGGTTCAGTTCCCTTTCAGTTCGTCAGCCGGATCTTCTTCCCAAAAGGCTGAGCCACCTGCCCGCCGCGCTAGTCCCCATTGGGCCCATTGGGCCAACACTGCAAACAACACTGCAAACAACACTGCCTCCCTTTTGCCTGTGCCCAAGCGGATCATGGCTTCATCTACAACTTACTGCAAGCTAATGTGACAACGCTATTACTATGCAATCTAATCTCGTATATTCATTCCAATAAAGATATGAGTCCAGACTCATAAGCTCGCGCTTATCTGTAACCTTCCGCTGCCGCCAAGAGCCCCTGCTGCCCAAAAACTCAATTAGAGCGATCAAGCCTAGTCGAACCAGAAGTTGCATGGAAGAAAAGATGATAATGTATATTTACGAGTAGGGATATTCTCGGGGAAATTCTTCATATCAACAGAAACAGCTTAATCCGCTCAAACCTCCCAATGAAGGGCCAGTCCCGTAGTCAACATTAGGACGAAATAAACTCAACCGGTACTTACAATCATCCCAAAGACGCCCGCCATCCTACCCAAACGCCGTTCACAACATGAAAGGAAAAAACCCGTATTCAGTGGCACCTTGTAATCCACTGTTCTTGTCACATAAGCGAAGACGCAGATGCAAGCAATCGTCTTGAATGTTCCTCAGCTCTTCAATGCTTCGAGGCGTCCCCGCATCTGTTCTAGTGTCGCTTCTTGATCCGCGAACTCGTCCTCCGGTTCTGGAGCCTCTTCCAATGGCTTCTCGGGCTGAACACCTTCGACCTGAGACAGCTTGCCGTGCAGGATCTCCTGCAGGACCTTGTCGACCTCCTCCTCTGCTTCATCTTCCTCTTCCTCCAGCAATTCGTTGTTCGGGATGGCGTCATCGACCATCTCCTCGATGATTCCGGCCCGCACCAGTTCCGTCGAAAGCTGACGCATCGTGGCATTCAGCTCGGGCATCCGGACCAATGTATTGACATCCTTCATGATGCCCGTCGACTTCTTCAGGCTGCCTTGAATCTTCCGAACCGAAAAGGCCTCGTTGACCTGCATCTGAACGCTCTGCAGTTGGGCGCGACTGGTGTGTAAACGGGTGGACTGCTTGCGAATGCGGACAAGCTCTCGCGCAAATGTCTTGGCCTCCATGTTGGCCTGCTTGGCCTGGGAGGGATTGCGTTGGGCCCGCTTCGATGAATTCATGATGTACTGTCGTGTCTTGCTTTCCAGAGTCTTCAGTTGTGCGATGTCACGATCCAACTGTCGGGTATTGGCGCGGATAAGCTGATTACATTTCCTCATCTAGAGACAGCAATCACAGTCAGCAGCGCGCCATGTCGCTCATTAGGATAGGCACTTGCCTGCGTTTGAGGATCCGGCCCGAAAAAGACTGCTTTGAGGGTCTCCATGCTGACTGGCGCGAGGATGATACGGGTTCACAGATCGATATCTATAGCTGCAAAAGGTCTACTTTGGCTTGAAGCGGGAACAGTCGGGTGGGATCTTGTCAGGGTGCTGAATCGGTCAAATCTGAAGTGACCTTGCAATACGGCGGGGTGTGAATCGAGGTGGTCAAGGGTCTTCCCACACACTTATGCGGTGAAGAAAGTGGCAGTTGATCTTCCGACAATGGAGAAATACAGCCGATGAAGCCAGCTGGCGGGGAAACGTGTGGTAGAGGCGCACCAACCCGGATGTGGACTATTGCATGGCTGCTGGCTGCTGCGGTGCCTGGGCTCCAAGGTGGATGGATGGAGTGGATGTCTGGCTGTTCCACTCGGCGACTGAGTCAGCCAGAAATGGACGGGGGCAGTGACGTCGCTGGGCAGCGTTGAGCCTCAGGCACCCAGAGGCCGCAAACAGAACAAACGGGCGGCGGGAGAGTTCCAGTACTTTCTAGCATTCATCACTAGTGACTCGCCGGCGATCAGCAGCTAAGAGCAACCGCCTGCTGCTGCAACTTCACTATCCGTCTAGCCCCCGACATCATCCCCTTCCCCCATCACCTCCCTTCTTTCGCTTCTGACGAGATTGCTACATTCTGTCCTTCTAAACAAACCCATCCTATCCGCTATCTACCATCATAATGCCCGAACTCCCTCAGGTCCACCCCGAAGGTGAGTTTACTCCCCCTCCCGTCCCTCATTTCCTTCCCCGCTCTGGATTTTCATTTCTGGGGTTCTCGGCTACTGGGAAGCATCATGCCATACAACGGCCTTGTTGTCTCTCATATTATCGCCCTGCCTATATTTACATGCGTACATTCATCTCGGCGAGCATAAGGTACTGACAAGGGTGTTTACTAGTCACATGGGCTCAGCGCTCTTCGGATAGCGACCCCGAGCGCAACTACCTCTATGTTAGCATCAAGGCTGCTGATGTTGCCCGTTCTGACGCAACCCTCGACATCAAGCCTACCAATGTTACTTTCACAGGCAACTCCAAGAAGGGCGTAAAATACCACGTCTCTCTCGATCTGTTCGCCGAGATCGACCCCGAGAACAGCAAGGTCAACCACAGTGACCGTGAGGTCGAGCTGGTTCTGCGCAAGAAGGAGCTCAAGGAAGAATACTGGCCGCGTCTGCTGAAGACCACCCAGAAGATCCACTTCTTGAAGACCAACTTCGACAAGGTATGATAACTGGTTCTAGTTTGCATGGATCTAGGAACAGGGAGAGCTGACTAAGAGACAGTGGGTTGACGAGGATGAGCAAGACGAGGTGAACGAGGACGACTACGCAAACAACTTCGGAGGCTTTGAAGGTCTTGGAGGCGAGGGTGGTCTCTCCAACATTGACTTCTCCAAGCTTGGTGCCGGTCTCGGCGGTGATGCCGGTGTTCCTGGAGAGGAAGAAGAGGTATGTCCTCTACCAATCTTTACCAATTGACGAAGATGTCCAGTCACTGACACTATTAGCAGGAAGAGGAGATGCCCGAGCTGGAGGAGGGCGAGGCCGAGGGTGCCAAGTCTTCTAAGATCCAGGAGGTTTCTTAAATGCTATGCCCTTCTACTGAGATAGGCAACGACTACTACGCAAGCAAGTAATAAAAAAAAAGCAAATAACGGCGAGCGACGAATGCTGTAACTTTTGAGCTTTTCTTTTACCTATACTATACCGCTGATGACCACGGTTCATGGTTTGGAGCTACCTGGCGCACTTGGACAGGTTTGTGGCCTGCCTCGAGAGGCGAAGGGAAACGGAAAAGGAATTTTGAACTATTTCCTTTTATTGGTATTGAAATGACGAGATGACTAGCAAGAATATTTCTCTCATAATGCCCATTCCTGGACTGCGATCCAGGCGTAGAGAAGAAGATCTGACAGTCGGACCGTTGAACGAGACTTGCGACCGGACAGCGTAGAACACCACCACCAAGTGTAATGAAGTAGTTTGCAGTGCGTATCTGTCGCGTGATTAAAGCCCAGAGATTAGCGGCAGTCGAACCAGACAGTCAAGTTCACTTCTGGCGAACAGAAAAAGCGCAAAGAACGAGAACCTGTCTGGTGAGGAGTTTGGTTGGGAGGGCGAGAAGAGAGGAAGGAGGAGAATCCAACTCGATTGGCGGAGAGGCCGATTATGTGAAGTTGTTCCGCCACACTGGCAAACCCACACCGTGAAAAGTGTGGAGGAAACCTTGCACCTCCTCACGGTTTGATTCCTCTTGTTCCCTCTTTTCCTCCTCTTCTAGACAATCTTTAATATCCCCCCATCTCCTTCCCCATCAGAAAGACAGCCGAGGTGTCGTCAGATTACTTGACCTACCCCGTCGGGACGTCAGGTCGACCCCTCCTTTGGTGATTTTCGTTGCGGTTTTCTTCCCTTTTGCGGCGCATCTTTTCTTCTTCCCTTTCTTTTCCCCCTCCCTCAACTTTGGGTTTCTCTGGGAGGCTTTCCCTCATCGTATCGGCGCGCAAAAGTTATATATCCGGCATAGAATTTTATCGCTATCTTATTTTTGTTTACTACATTTCTTTTTACATATTAGAGGAGTGCAAATCTACACAAATCCGCCAAGATGCCTCCCAAGAAGCAGCAGGACCAGCCTAAGAAGAAGAAGGCCACGGTCGAGGATAAGGTTCGAGTGCTCCTTGATCGATCGATATTTCTAGAGTAAATGCTAATCTGCGATTTTGTACAGACCTTTGGCATGAAGAACGTACGTAACGAGCCCTTCTAGAACCCGCACACCACTCCCTCCACCATCCATCATCGACTCTCGCGAAAAATTACAAGCCCACTGACCGGTATTTCTCTTTACAGAAAAAGGGTGGCTCGGCCAAGAGACAGATTGCTCAGCTACAGGCTCAAGCGGCATCCAACAAGAACGCCGAGGCAAAGAAGAAGGAAGCCGAGAAGGCCCGCAGAGAGGCCGAGAAGAAGGCTTCCGAGCAGGCCAAGAAGGAAGCCTTGGAACTGTTCAAGCCTGTGCAAGTCCAGAAGGTTCCTTTCGGTGTGGATCCGAAGACTGTGCTTTGCGTTTTCTACAAGCAGGGTAACTGTGAGAAGGGTAAAAAGTGCAAGTTCAGTCACGACGCGAGTGTGGAGCGCAAGGCGGCTAAGAAGGATCTGTACACCGATTCTCGAGACGTGAAGGCTACCGAGGAAGAGGCTAAGAAGAAGGATACCATCGATGACTGGGATGAGGAGAAGCTGCGCAAGGTTATTCTCAGCAAGCACGGTAACCCGCGTACGACTACGGATAAGGTCTGCAAATACTTCATTGAGGCTGTCGAGAACCAGAAGTACGGTTGGTTCTGGACTTGCCCTAATGGAGGCGACAAGTGCATGTACAAGCACAGTTTGCCCCCTGGGTATGTTTCGCTCGTTGATCTTTTGGCTCTGCTTCCTACGGTTACTGATGGACTACAGATTCGTTCTGAAGACGAAGGAACAGAAGGCCGCCGAGAAGGCTCTCATGGACAAGTCGCCACTCAACACCTTGACCCTCGAAGACTGGCTGGAAAGTGAGCGACACAAGCTGACCGGCAACTTGACGCCCGTCACGCCTGAGACATTCGCCAAATGGAAGAAGGAGCGTCTTGACAAGAAGGCTGCTGAGGAGCAGGCCCGCAAGGCCAAGGAAACCACTGGACGGACACTGTTCGAGGAGGGCAACTGGCGTGCTGATGACGAGAGCAGTGACGAGGAAGAAGATGATGGCGCGTGGAACCTGGAAGCTTTGCGACGCGAGACGGAGAAAATCCGGGAGAGGAAGGAAGAGGAACGCCTGGCGGCGCTGCATGGCACGCCGGTGCCGGTTTCCAACGACGAGACGATTGCACAGGAAGGAGCCGACTGAGTTCTGTGCGATACATCCCCAAGGACGCAAAAAGCACTTGGGCGAAAGGGGTTGCGGACCTCCCCCACACTGGGAACGGTGTCCAAAGCCGTCGTCCGGACCTGGCATGCCAAATGGGTTGATGGATGGTAGATACAGTGCTGGTTCTCTTTGGGTTCTTTGAATTGTGACGAGGATACACCAAACTAGATCGCCTGGTATTGATGTCCGCGACTTGGGTTGGATGGCTCTTGCGGTTAAACGTGAACGGTTGGTCGTGTCGCCTCAATTCCTGGTTCAGCCACCGTTGGATCGGTGCCAGCTGAATTGAATCTACAGAGGCATGGATTGGGGCGGAGTGAGGAATCGAATGGAGAGAAGTTACCAGATTGATTGATTGAGAGACATCGACAGGGTCTGGAGGTTCGTTATCCAGGGGATGAACTGATTCGTGATATGATTTGCTATGCCCGATCTGTACGTAGAACGTTTGTTTATTTTTAGGTTGAAATGAGCCAGCATTGCCCTGAAGGCGCAAATGAAAAGTGCAATAAGTGATGCCAACTATTTTGTAACACATTGACGCTGAATCGACGGTCTGGCTTGTACCTTGCTGCCGGAGACCTTAGCTCACATTCCACTTCATGGAAGCCTGGGAGCTGTCTGTCTCACTCATGAATGTTGTGCACGATCTCCCCAACTGACGCTCACCGATCTCCCCGTTCAATCTCCACCATCCCTTTCGTCACGATTGAACTATCGAGGAACGCCGCCCCATCCTCTCCCTCCGCGGGTCCTACGATTCCCTCCTCGTCCGCGGTGTCCTGTCCCTCTCCTACATGGCGCATCTCAGTCCCTTCAAAACACTAAATACATAAGGTTAAGACGATGGCAGCTCAACAGTACCACATCCCCCCTGCCCCCTCGTTTCCCACCCCCGCGCCACCATGACCCAGTCCCTCCTCACCTTCACCGCTGCCCTATTGACGGGATTGCTGTCGCATTCCCAGCCTGCCGCTGCGGTGGGGATCAGCTGTGATCCAGACACTCGTCCATACTCGGCCTGGATGACAGACAGCGTCATTGTCCGCCGGGATGCCATTCTGGGTGACTTCACACCAGGAGATGATATCTACCCAAATATCTCCCAGGTCACACTATTCGAGTCGACCGTTACCCGTTTGAAGGAGTACTACGATGCCGATTCTTGCGGCCAGGTGGATTGGCACAGTTATGCCCTAGATGGCGCCGAAAGCCTCCTCCCCGCCGTGCAGGATGTCTCGTTTATTGTGAATGCTCCGCTGACTATATTTGCGTCAGGGGATGTTATGTATCATCAGTAAGTCATCACCCACACAACTATTAGCTGACCGCAGAACGAAACTCCAATCCAACACTTGCATTTCTAGATACGACCGCGCCCCAAACGATACCTACAAACAAGCCCTCGACAACCTCCACGATGCCCTTAATGCAAGAGCCCGCGACTCAGAAGGTCAGACAACACCCATTCTTAGATGAACTTCACTGAACCCGCAACCAAACAGCATGATACTAACACCATCGATCACATATCCAGGCGCCTTCTGGTACTGGAACCCTTACCCCAACTGGGGCGTCCTGGAAGGCCTCTTCCCACTCAGCTCCTTCATCTCGATGTGGAAAACCTACTTCGACCCCACCAACACGACCCTAACCGATTCCCTAACTCTCAGTCTCGACCTATTCAAAGACCACTGCCACGACGACTCCAGCGGCCTCCTCTTCCACGGCTACGACTCCAGCAAGACCGCCTCCTGGGCCGACCCCACCACCGGCGCGAGTCCCTACGTCTGGAACCGCGCCCTGGGCAATTGGTTCATGACGCTAGTCGACCTGCTCGAACGGTCTGGGAAAAACAGCGCCATACTCAACGAGACGCAGCGCGACGACGTCTACACCAAATACTGGAACGTCGCTAACACGATCATCAACGATGCCGATGAAGAGACCGGATGCTGGTGGCAGGTTATGTTGCACGGTGGGGAAGAGGGCAATTACATTGAATCAAGTGGATCAGCTCAGTTCGTGTACGGATTGCTCAAAGGTGCTAGGTTGGGGTATTTACAGGGCGAGACGCCTAATGGGGTGGCGTATACGGATGCGGCTGATAAGTGCTATAATTATTTGCTCAGCGAGTTCGTGAAAGAGGAGGCGGATGGTACGTTGGGGTATAATGGCACTGTGGCGGATTGTGGGTTGTATGATCCTACTTTTGAGGTACGTATTGTATTTTCCTTCCAGTCCTTTTTTCTTTACTGCCCCCCTTGATTAGGAGAGAGAATGTTAACGAGTTTTTGTTCAAGTACTACACCACCCGACCCGTCGAATACAACAATCTCTTCGGCACTTCGTCTTTCATCCTGGCGAGTTGGGAACATGAGATGTTTGAGACGGGGTATTATACTTAGCTGTTGATTAGCTGGCTGGATAGGTGAAGCAGAGGTGGGATAAAGCACACATTCATCTACCGAAATATCTGTGGGGAATTGATCATGATACATAATGACAACATAAACGATGGGAACAAATTCCACGAATAGATGCACGTGACAATCAGAATCTGAGTTGGTGTTCTCAGCTCGAAGAATCAAATACAATATTAATACTCCGTACTATCAAGACCGATGAAAAGAGCCAGAGTTAGTAGAGAGGGGAAGCGAGCGGGGGGATAAGCCATTGAGTTTGAAACCATGTCTGAGCGTAAGTTACCACTAAAGACATAGTGGGACAGATAATATCTGCAAGGGGGGATGGGAAAGTGAAACTATCTTGGAAACTTAAGCTACCTAGTATCAAGCAAAGCAGGGTCTGGAGATAACTTAAATTCGTGACTATTAAATGGTGTCTCAGATCGGGTCATTGAGAGGGAGGTGGGGAAAGAGCTTGACTATCACTCAGATGACCATGACTCTTACTTAGTTCTAAGAGAGAGTTAAATTACGGCCCTGAGCTGACTTGAGAACCTTCTTTTATAGCTTCATGTTGGTGGCAAGGATACGGAAAGTCAAATTGCCAATGACTAACGAATTCCGGTCAAGACATTGCGTTCACGAAAGACAGGCAGAAAGGCAGTCAGAAGCAGGTTTTACTAAATTGACATGTAAAGATTGTGCAGACTAAGAGATACGCATTTTCTCCTCTCATTGCAGTCATCACTTTCATTGTCGATCATTCAGTTGGAAGTTGGCCGTTCACATATATATCGAGTATTTATATATGTACGACGCGTTGGAAATAACCCTTCTTTCTAGTTCTTGAGAGGCTCCTGGGGTGAGCGCAGAACATCCTCGAACCACTTGTACGACGGGACCAGACTGTGAGGGTATCCCATGTGAGGCAGTCCGTGGAAGAACCTGTGGAAGGGGATGGTTAGGTACTAGGTTGTTACAGATATGGAAGGAGCTGACTGACCTGCCCTCTTTGGGACTTCCGTGGTTGAAGAGCATCAGGCAGTCTTCAATGGGGGTGACGCCATCATCCACACCCTGAATAGCATGGGTTAGAATCCAATATGGAAGTTCGAGGGTGTATCGTCCTTACATTGAGCAGCAACAGTCTGCAGCTAGGCTGATCCAAGATGCCAGTCTCGAGAAGAGAAAACTTCTTCTGGCCATTCTTCTTGAAATCCTCCGGGTTGGAGTAGCCGTACTTCTTGGCCCAGGCAGGAGTGAGCCTATCGAAGGTGCCATTAGTCTCTCTGGCAATGGCAGATGAGGTCGCAGTACTTACAGGAATGGATACTCGTGGTCATCGACACGGCTCAACCACTCGGGGTCCAGGAAGTAATGGCACCCCGGTCCGTGGGCGAGGGTTCCAACGAAGCGATCACGATGGGTATGTGCAGCGCGAATCGCGTAGAACCCACCAGCACTCAGACCCCAGGCAGCAACCCGGGACATGTCGAACTCCGGACGAGTCGCCATGTAGTCGAGAACGGTAGTCCATTGACGGTCCGCCGACTCCGGGTCGCTGGGGTCGGCAGGCGAGTCCGCGGTACCGGGAATCTCGCAGATAACTGTCGCCCAACCCCGGTTGATGATCTCATGGGTGCGCTGACTGTTGTCAGGGCGGTATCCATCCAGACCAGTCATTAGCACAACAACTGGGACCGGGTTCTCTGCCGTCGCATGTTCCGGGACACGAACGAAGAGGGGAACATAGGCACCGTCGGTGGCCGACTTATGTTTGTGCGGGATGATGACCTCCTGGATGGTGGGCTTCCAAAAGGAAGCTGCCTTTAGATACACCTTCTTCTGTCGGTTGAAGGCCTCTTTTTTGATATCCTCTCTAGTCGGATCGACATAAGGGAAGCGGGAGATACGGTAGACCACAGCGGCTCTCCGGAGCAGGTCAGATGCCATCTCCACATTGTTGTTGTTCAAAGCAGCCGAGGCCTTATTCTCCAGGGCCTCAGCAACCGGGAAGAAAGCCTGTGTGTAGGCATCGGTGTAGGCATCGTTGATATTTTCCTATCATAAAGTGAGCATGTTACCCTTGCGCTAATAAGGGGCACATGGCGAGATCATGATAACCGACATCAATAAGCTTCTGGAAAATAGGTCGAAAGTCTTCGATGGCACCGTCGTGGAATGGGTAGACGGATTTTTCACACTGCATGCTACGTTAGATAAGGACTGCCTGACGGCTGGCCAACCACTGAGCAAGGGGTGGTGATGCCGACCACCAGTAAAAACTTACTGCAAACTTCCACTTCGTTTCCCAGAGAGCTTTGATAGAGCCCTTGTGGGGATAAACGGTGTTAAACTTCTCGCCGAGGATCCAAGGAGCCATGGTGTTTGCTTGCTCGTGTCGTCCAGTCTTGAGTAGACGGTGTGAAGATGTACAGATCAGGAGGGAGACAGCATTGAAGAACCCTTTTAAACGTAGCTCATACAATGTAAGGTCCTCACGGCGAAACTTGCCGACTGGGGTGCACATGAACTCTCCTCCAAATCTTGTGACATCAGAACCAACTATCGAGGGTGCTTAGGGCTACAAACGCAGGGGGGCTGACCAATCCACAGCTGTTGAGGGATCAAGGGGCGTCACTGTCTGTCTCGGGTCTCGGACAATCGGTAAGGCTTGACACGCTGTTCCGCTGACAGAGGTTGGGATGAGAGTTTGCTTTAGGTGGCCGTAGCTGAAACTCCCTTGCCTGCATTGTGCCATGTTGACGACTTTCCGCTATACCGGATCATGCTCCGACTCCCAGGCATCCATGTTCGAGACCAACCAAGAGTTTGTACTTGGAAGGGAAGAGACCGCTAATTCGGGCGCCTAAACTTCTTGAAGTATGTGTTGCTGTACGGTTGAAGTAGATCGAAGCGGTCGATTGCCGAGGATGGATGTGATTGGTTGGGGTACATGTTGTACTCATTGTAGCTTAACTAGAGTTAGAAATACTTCATGTAAGTGCTTGATGTTGAGAACATCGTGGTAGCCACCTGGTGGACCCAAATATGTACTGCCTTTGGGTGAACAGGGCATATTCCAACACGGTAGTCTTCTCATCAAGTAAATGCCTTGCATCCCCCCGATTCCAAGGCGGAAGGCGCATTCCAATGCCTGCTGCTGCGGTCTGGATGGGGTAGGATTGTTCGCTGGTTCAAGGTCTCGGTCCCTGAGCCATGTTATTGTCGATCTCGACAAAGCAGATATACTTTTTCAAAAGAGGCCATGTATCCCAGGCCGCAGACCTTCAAAATTTTATTGGCACGAGAAGGGGAACATAAAGTATGGAAGCTATAGGGAAGGCACCAAGGGCTATCCTACAGATAACGACGTTGAAGGGAGTGCCCCGTTGCATCAATAGCGCGGACATCTATCGCACAGTGCCTTGAGATTTGACCCCCTTCATAGCTGAAGTAACCGCCATTAGGCGTCAATATATTCAGCTATCCACAGCCAGACAAGCGTGCCAATACCTCAGGAATTTTCTTGCCGGGGCATCCTGCATCTCTGAACCGGGAAGGTATCTGCATGTAGGAGGAGCTAGTCGACTCCCTACTTCTCCTTCCTCATCCCTTGAAGCAAGGACAGGTTACATGCTCGCATTCTATGTCTATGCAGGAATGATTTCTCCCGGGCGGCGACTGAAAGCACGACTCGCATCGGATCGGCTCATTTGTAGGCTTGCTGTCCGGCCATGCGAGAAATGTTTGTTTGGATCTGATGCCGAGGCGGCGACACCGACGAGGCATCCATATCGCCAAGGGTTGCTTTCCTTATTGCTCCGCGGGCTGAACTAACTTTTTGTGCATAATATAGCAGTCCGAGCAACTTTCTGTACATACTTATTTTCGACCTCCCTTCAGGAATTGCTCCAAAAGTCTGCGCCCGCATCCGGTGAATGCTATACTCGAAGCCGCGGCAATGATCCGAACCCTCACAACGCTCGGCCTGTACGGGTTCGTCCAACAGGCATTGAGCAAAAATGTGTATCTGGATTGGAATATAACTTGGGTGACTGCAGCACCTGATGGGTATGCGAGGCCTGTGATCGGCATTAACGGACATTGGCCTTGTCCCCAAATTGATGTCGATGTTGGTGACAATCTCATCGTCGACGTGTACAACGGGCTGGGTAACGAGTCCACCGGAATCCATTGGCATGGTCTACATCAGAACTACAATGGCTACATGGACGGTGTCCCAGGAGTCACCCAATGCGAGCTCCACCCCAACCAGCGCATGCGCTACATTGTTCCGGTAAGCTGAGCATGCTTGCTGGATCAGTACCTGAACTGTGCCTTCTGACCCATGGATCTAGATGAACCAAACGGGTACATATTGGTACCACTCGCACGAGCCGGGTCAGTATCCTGATGGGTTGCGCGGACCCATCATCGTGCACGACAATGTTCCTGCCCCGTATCACTATGACGAGGAGATGACCCTCACCTTATCCGACTGGTATCATGTGCAGATACCCGTCTTGCTCGATCAATTCATAGTTCCAGGAGACCATGCCCCCTATGGAGGTCTAGAGCCGCTACCTGATGCGATTTTGTTCAATGACATGCATAACACCAAGATCAGCGTTAAGCCCGGTACGACCTACCTGATCCACGTTGTCTGCATGGGCAACTTTCCCGGGCATGCGCTCGTCATTGACGACCACGACATGACCATTGTTGGTATGGATGGCATTGCAGTGGAACCGCATTTCCTTCCACCCCAGTATCTGCGTGTGGCCGTTGGACAACGAGTCGACATCCTCCTCACCACCAAAAATGATACTAGCAAGAACTATGCGATCTGGGACGGCCTCGATATTGATGAGATGTTCGTTCAAGAGGGAAGGAGCCCACCTCAAGGGTACAATCCCAACGGCACCGCATGGCTCATGTACAACGAGGATGCTCCTTTGCCTCCTCCGCCCATCATTCATGTCAACAATGCAAGTCTG